AGTAAATCCGATTCCTGATTTGGCAGTAAATCCACTTCTGAGTTCGAGTCCGAAACCGATCTTGATTCGGTCGTGATTCGGTCGTGATTCATCCGAGTCCGCTCTTGTTTGGATGACTCGTTGACTCCCCAAACCGTTGGCTTGATTCCGCACGCGAATGGATGCATTCCGTTGCTCACGTGCGATTCGTTGACCTCGTCGCCTCGTCACTCGATGGTTTGTCGAATCACCACGCCGAGCTATGCCAAGGGACTTATAAGCAATTTTACATGCCTACACTAACTTCATCAAGTATAACAATCAAAGGCACAAATATATAAGCACCGTCTTATATTTGACAAAAACAACCCAGATCATTGGGTGTTTTTGTCTGAAGCTTTATGCTAATAAAAAACAAAACCCCCATGAGTTATCTTAGATTTGACCAGAAAAAATACAAATACAAATGAATTAGAAATAAGAAATTAGAAAAAAAAGAATTATTTTTGGGATTTTCATGCTTGACCAGCATTCAGAAGCTACAAGACCGAAGAATGGCCTAATGAGGAGTTCATTGCAAGATTTTTGTCCAGTGCGATATATAGACCCAAATGTACTTATTCGTCAAAAACTCACTTTTTAGCTAATTAAGCTGAATTCAAGAAGAAGTATTCGTCAAAAACTCACTTTTTAGCTAATTAAGCTGAATTCAAGAAGAAGATAAAGGATTTACCATGGACAAATAAGCAACAACCACTTTTTAGCTAATTAAGCTGAATTCAAGAAGAAGATAAAGGATTTACCATGGACAAATAAGCAACAACGATTCGACCACCATTTTTCTGAGTGAAGATGAACTCAAGCACGAACCCAATCACCGACAGCTGAAGAAAAGCTATGACGATCGAATAAGTCATATCCCCTTCCAATTTCAGCTTCTCGAGAGAGAGTGAGAGAGGCGGACCATGGCTGTCGGCTGAGGAGAGAGAGTGTGTGTGAGAGAGGCGGACCGCGACTGTCAGCTATCGCGGGTGGCGGCTATCGGCTGAGGAGAGTGAGAGAGAGCGAGACAGAGGGATTGAGGAAAATGGGAAATTGAGAATGAGTAGCAACGACTGGGACTGGGAGTCTGAGAGGAAATGAGGTTAGGGTTAAGGGTTTAGGATGGGTCGGGTAAACGGATAGGGTTTGAAGCTTTTGGGAATATATTTGGTCGGTTCGGGTCGGGTCGATTTGAAAAGTTGTCAACCCAACCCGAACCGCCTTACTCATAAAACCGCTTTTTTGGGGTTGGTTCAGGTCGGTTCGGTCAGTTTTTTCGGATTGAATCGAACCATGCTCAGCCCTAGTGTACACGATGTTTTTCATATTTCGATGCTTGAGAAGCATCTGCGAGATGATGAGTAGCAGAGAGTGATTGATTCACCAGAGATTGAGATTCAGGATGACTTGACTACCGTAGAGATTCCGGTATGCATACTTGATAGAGAAAATAAAAAGCTTAGGAATAAAGTCATTCCATTAGTGAAAGTTCAGTGGAACCGGCAAGGAACCGAAGAGATTTCTTAGGAGCGCGAGGAGGATGTTTGTCGCGACTACCCGCACATGTTTGGACAGGTATGATGTTGATGCTTTGATAGTTGTATTATCTATGTTGTTTAGTCACATTTATATTTATCTTTAACACTAGAATGGGGATATTATCACCTGATCCTTAATCATTTGAAACATATGGTATATACATGAGGGTTTTCTTATTTAGATTATTTCGCTCGACGTACTAATTTCATTTAGTTAGGGATTTAGTTGAGAATGTTTGCATTCTAAGTTGTTAACCTTAAATATCATTGTGCTAATTCTATGAAATATGTGCAAAAGGTTTTCTTTATATGAAATACACCTTCTTAATGTGTTTTCCCAGTTATTAAGCTTTGTGATGTGACTGCGGAATTTCGACGACGAAATCCTGAATGTAAAACCCCGATAATTTTTGAATGATATATTAATATGAGATTAATTATGATATATGGATATTTAGGATGATAAATATCATTAAATGGTATATGAGTATAATACCATATGTTTTGAGTATGAACGAGTTCATACATAAGAGAGAACAGAGTCGAAACATGCACATTGGCCAAACTCATAAAAAACTAGTAAAATCCCAGTCCGGTCGACCGTCACGGTCGACTGCGAAACCTGCAGAGAGTTTTTAACCTGTTTTGAGTTGGTTTCGGATTTCTAAACCCATATTCGTTTTCCCTGATATATATATGAGTTTTTCACGTTTTTCTCAGTTTTTCTAAGAACCATAATAGCCACCAAAACCCCCAAACCCTAGTTTGTTTTCTTGGAGAAGATTGGAGGCTTTCGAGCGAGATTTTTTCTCGGTTTTTGGCTTTTAGAGTGGAGATCTCTTTCAACCTTGCTTCTAAAACATTTTACGACAATCTCAGACGAGTATCATCTCTGCTAATCCCCCTCCTAGTTTTCAAAATATTTTTAAAGAGATTTAAACATGTTTTGTAGAGCCTAAACGACTAGATTATGAATAAAAGATCTTTTGTATTATATGTATAAAGATTAGGTCTTTTCATGCTAAAAAGGTTAAGAACGAATTTTGCAGATGTATTTAAGATTTGAAGATGATTTTAAAACGTGGTTAATCTAAAGAAAGAAGTTTGATTCATCGTTTTGAGCTTTTATGCATGTTTTAGGGTTTTAAATATAAATATAATGCATAAAATCATGGTTATATATGTTGATTTTGTTTTTAGATATTTCTATCTGCTGTAACATGTTTGTATGCAAGATTTATGAAGTTTTTACCATATTTAAATCACAAAAACACAACGTGAACACGACACATATTAAAAATCTGAGAAGCTGGAAATCTAGGTCACGGTCGGCCACCACGGTCGACCGCGTGTGTCCACAGTCGACCGCCATGGTCGACCGCATACAGGACAGAGACTTGGGTAGTCTCTGGAGCCCGTCGCGGTCAACCGTCACGGTCGACCGCCAGTCTGATGATGGTCGTGCATGTTTCATTTGGATTTTTTATTTGGTTTTCGAGCGATTCTCTCGACTTTGTGTTGATAGACTACAATGTTAAGAGTTGTTGAACACCTGGGATAATGGTGAACTTCAGATGTGGACACGCACACCAAGATTTGTGCATGTATGCTTAGATTATGTTAGATTGACACACTTTTGACACAAGTTAAACTGATAAACACATATGAATAGTATTGTTATATATGTACCCGGAAATAGGGAGATGAAACCTATTTGCCGCAGAACGATTGAGTAAGAGTATTACAATAGTATCGTTATTACATGTATCCAGAATAGGGAGATGATAAACCCTATTGCCGCAGAGCGATTGAGTAAGAATACTACAAGAGTATCGCTATATCACAAGAAGATGCACACATAGGTATTTAATCAGTTGTAAGTTTTACTTCCATGATAGATTACTTGTGAGTAGGGTATTTCTTTTGAGATTTTGGCACACCCGTTATGGATGACAGTTATATTCGTTTTGGTTTGATTGACATCCTCTTATATTAGAGCAGACTACTCGGATGTAATTCGAGATGATGTATTTATTCTTTATGTTGGAGATTTGAGTATGTTTCCTTGACTATTTGTTTTTCATAGAGAGCTATATGAATGATTTGATATATGTAAGTAATGACTCTATTTTCTTATTATACTCCTACCCCTTCCCCTGGGGAGAGGTAGTGATGATCTCTCTAGCGCTTTGACGCTCGTTGTTTCCCCTCTTTCAGGCAGCGAGTCCGGCGTACGGAGAGTCGCAGGTTGATGAGACTTCTTAGTTGTCCATTTAGCTACTTATTATACCTTGTAGTTATTGCGGAACTCCACATGTAGTTGATTATTTTCAGATTCTAGATTTGTATTTTAGTTTAGAGTTGAGGGCTTTTGTGAGACTTTGTTTATTTGACTCATTGTATTTGAGATCCAGTTTATCTCAGAGATATTTCTATTCTATTTCAGTTGGGCTCATATTTGATATTTCTTATGCTTCTTCTGTGTATATCCACTGATGCCTATTTCTATTTTTGCCTGTCTATACCCTCATCTATTTATTGTTTTCACTAGAGAGATAGTGATTGTGATGGTGAAACATGTCGTAGCATGGTGGTTGGTGCTTGGCAAGTTTGACAATCCAGGTTTCACCTGAGACTGTAGCCTTGTGTGAACCCTGGGGCGTCACACGAACCTGGAAGCATAAGCACACAGTAGAAAAAGAAGCCATCGGTCGACTGATAAAAAATATCGGTCGACCGATTCAAACACCAGGAAAACAAGAAAGTTTCTGGCCAGTCGACTGATACGAATTATTAGTCGACCGAAAACGTGCACGAGCAGTCCTGAGAAAAAACACCTTCTGGTCAGTCGACCAATAACTCGTATTAGACGACCGATCGCGGCAAAACAGAAACCAAGTCTATTACGTTTGTCGAACCTCGTTAAATCCGGTGTTCTCTCTTTTATTTATTCTTTCCTGCAAGTTTTTCGATTCGGTGTGATTTCTTACTTGCTAATTGTTCGTCACAAGACTCGGAGAGCACGGGTTGTCGATTGTTAACCCCAACAGTAATAATACCTCAAATTTCAAGAGGGACTAATTTTAAAATACTAAATATCGCAATAGTAATTTTTACGAGTTACCAGTTTCAAAATACTAAGTAGTGAGGAACTAATATAGAGAAACCTAATAAAGGAGTAAAGACCCTGCAGACCAACGCATTACTCCGAAGAAGTCGAGGCAAGGAAAAAGAGAACCTAACTTCACTGACACGAACAGGTCCCCAAAGAAACTCGTAACCCGTGGGTCCCTGTCCCACATCATCATGGTCATTTTCCAAGTCCCTCTAGCAAGTCCGAATCAGTTAAGTTACACTCTATCTTCGTTTAACTTTAAGGTGTTCCCTTCGATTTTGAAACCAATTCAGCGGCATACAAGTGAAAGAGACGGGCAGCAAAAGTTATTCCTACGGTACACCGAGCACACTGTTTTATGAATTTTTAATGCTGCTGACGCTCAGCTCAGCTGAGATACCTGAGCTCTATCACCCCCCCACTCTCAAAACCTAGCTAATGCTTACGCTTCATCCCCCCAGTCCCCTTCACTTTCCCAATTTTTATTAAGTTTTGTAATTATTTTAGCGAGCAACTTGGGTTGGGTTTTCTTTATAATGAAAATTTTGTTCTGAGCCTTATCTTGCAGTTTCTAGATATGGGTATCAACCTTTTCACGCCTCAGCGCTAGTTTTTCTTTGCGAGTTTGCTTCCTGCTGCAGTTTCTAGAGATGTGTATGTTTTGTTTTGACTCCTAGAGAGGTAATCATCTGGATTTTTGAATTTATTCTTGCAATAGTAAGCTAATTAAACCTGTCATATTCAGAGCAATCCCTGATCCTGTTGCTTTTTGGAGGCTTTAGAGGTTAGCTATACCCTGTTGCCATCACTTTTAGGTTGTTTTTAACCCTTTTTAAGGATTTTTTTTTTGGTGGGTTGTAGCGATTAGTGTTGCTTTAGTGCCCTTTGCTAAAAGTAGTAAATTAGTAAAAGATTTCTGGGCAAAACCCTTTTCAGCTTTGAGAAAGTAAAACAAGCTTTGGTGTTTGTGTATTGTTGGAGGATTTATTGCAATATATTTCTGAACAAACCCAATCGAGCTTCGGAAGAAAATAAGGATTGGGTTTTTTGAGCTATGGGGAGGTTCTATGTAGTATTGTGTTTGGCTCCTTGGTTCTTGATGATGGTTTCAGTGAGTGGAATAGGGGCAAACTGGGGTACACAAGCAAGTCACCCTCTGTCACCATCTATAGTGGTGCAGATGTTGAGAGACAATGGGATTCAGAAGGTGAAGTTGTTTGATGCCGAGGACGCAACTCTCACCATGCTGAAGAAGACCAACATCGAGGTGATGGTCGGCATCCCCAACGAGCTTCTGCAGAGCCTGGCGACAAGTATGAAGGCCGCGGAGAATTGGGTGGCGAAAAATGTCTCGGGGTATGTTAGTGATGGAGTTAACATCAGGTTTGTCCTCTGGCGTCTGAGTATTGTTATTCTCTTGCATATTATCGCTATACGTCCAATTTATTTTTTAGATTAATAATGTTAATATCTCTTTATTTTTTTCTAATAGCATATCCACAAGGCCAATCCTCCTTAAGATTTGTACTAATAAGTCAATTGATACCCTTCAACGTTTAACAGAGAGCGTTGCTATTGAGGAAGTGGGAAGCATCCTTATTTTTGAATTTTATGTGTATTTGGTGATGAACAAAGAAGGTGAAGGGTTGATACCATTTGTTCGCCCTTTTAATTGTAGTTGTGGAAATAGAGGAATTTACAATTTTTTGGTGTGCACAAGGATCTTTGTTGATGAGATTATTGGTGCTACCTAGTGAAAAATTTATAATTGGCGTTTATCGCGTTATCGTATGTAAATGACTTACATCACGTTGGAAAATTCATATGTGAATATAGTCCTACATTTGAAATATTAGCCCCGATTCATGGTCCGGGGTTAGCCCAAAAGCCCAACCCCTATAGTTTTTCATCCTATGAAAAATTATTTAAATTATTTAGTGTTCTTGCAATGTCAACTTTGAACTCCAGACCTATGATGACAATAGGTTTAGTTACCACTGGCCACTGTGTGATGTTGTTTAAGTGACATACACTATAATATAAAGTTTGAAAAGTAGCCGTGTTTTGGGGAAAAACATTTTTTGTTCAAAACGTAACATAGATTACCTGTCCTTCTTACCAGTATGAGGACCATGCTTTCTTGTGGATAACTGGGATATACTTAATGAAACGAGGAGATCATTGAAAATTCTTTTGTGAGTACAGTTCCACAATGGAACAGTTTAAAAGAGTAACATATTCAAGAAGTTGGGGACCTTGGGGTCAATTCCAACAGTTTCATCTCTTGAGTTAATTTGTTTATAATCCTTTGTCCGAGGCCCATTCAACCCACCAAGAGCCCAAATACTCCCAAGCAAAACTTATAGCTTTGGCTTCATTTCTTACTTTTGGTAGGGTGTGAGAGACACGCTTCTGCGAACTCCATTTTGCATATGATTGAGATTTGAGCCTACACAACTTAATTAGCGTGAGCAAGGTATAAATATGGGAGTACAGGTTTCTTTGGCAATCTGTGCACACAAATTTTAGCAACGTCTTTTTTATGTGCATTGTTGACAATTAACCTGACTATAATGGAGATAAATCAAATGTATCATATGCTTCGCGCGCATATCCAATAATTGGTCTACTCTTTATTGGGCTAGACCAGGCTATCAGACATTGAATTGGAAGCAAGGGATATTATCCAACACTGAATCTGAATTTCCTACAACTTTGACTGTGAAGATCCTACAAACCGGTCCCTCCACTAAATCAGGTTCAATGTGATTTTGACACATGACACTAACTATTAGGGTGTTTTAGGCTGTAAATAAGTGATTAACACAGAAATAAAAAATGGGTTTCCTGGTTTTGGAGTAGAAATGAGTTATGAGTTTTTCCTGGGTGGGTGGTGGGCGGGGGGGGCATGGCGTGGGCGAAAGAAATTCGGTAGCCAGTCACTTCTTGCGTTTGGAGCCAACGTGAGTTTCTTCTTCTGGGTGGAAGCATGAAAGAAAGAGGGGGGGGGGGGGGGGGGTTAAAAAAAAAAAGAAATCAATTTAATATGTTTTTACAATTTCTTAGTGAGTTTTGACTTCTATGTGAGTATAATTAATTGTCTTTATTTATGTGTTTTATTATATTTACAGGCGATGCAGATATTGAATTACCAATAAGTTTTGTACTTACTGTTTAGTATGATAAAACTGAAGAGATGACAAATTAATTCACTGCCAACACTTATTTGTTAGGATTATCCTTGTGTTCAACCCAGAAGATGACAAAAGAACACCGTCCAACCACTTTGACATCACAGCAACAGGCTGTGCTATAGTCTGAAGTACCGCATACTGTCCCAATGTCAGCGGTGAGCAGCCTGTAGTCACTTCAGGCTGTCGCAGGCTGTTTTTCGGGCTGGTTTGGATAGATTTTCAGGTATTTCTTTTATGCACAGGATAGTACTCTGTAAATAGCATTGTTTGTCATGTCTAGTGTTTGACCAAGCCAAAGAAAAGCTTGAAAAGGGTTGAATAGAGTGTGGAGAAGAAACAAAAGTGAAACTTGGGGTATGTGAGGAGCTTTTGCGAGATCAAGAGGAGGATTCTTGTACTGATCTTGAATAACTTAAGAAAGGCTAGATCTTGTAATCTCTGATAATAAAGAAGACTTTATTCTCTCCCTGTGGATGTAGGCAATTGTTGGATCATGTTAAATCTTTTGTCTTTCAAAGATTCTACTAGTCTGCGATATTCTCATTTGTTCTTTTTTTTAATTAATAGTTTCAGATTTTTTTTCTTTTTTCTTGTGTTTCCCTATTGCAAGTAGATCGTTTGCCCTTGTTAAATGGAGTAGATCTAAATCGGTAGATCCATGCGAATCTCCTGCACAAATTATCGAAGCTAATTGTGTCCTATTTGCAACCATTAGTATCAGAGCAATTTTCTGGTTTTCCATATTTATTGCAGCCTAAATACACCCTAACACCATGGTCAACTGTCAAAATCACATTGGACTTTATTTAGTGGTGAAGTCTGTTCTAGGATTCCTCTGTAGCCAAGTCGGTTCCTTAGAGTGTCTGATTTCCTATCACCCTAGGTGGACTAAGTTATGTCTCTTCTTCCCCTCCACAACATATAGAGGGCTTTCATAAAGAGGCACATGCAAAAACATACCACAAGAGAACAATGCCTAGAGCTTTTATAACTTTTTCTTCAAATTTCAGTATTTAAGAGTTAGTATCAGGTTGATGATTGTAAGTGGAGGTTTCTTGCTGATCAATCAATGTGGTTACCTCTGACTATTGGGCAAGGTGTACGTGACAGATCTATGAAGAATGATCTTCATTTTGATAGCTTTATAAACAAGTTTGCTGTTTGTTATAGACTATGCTAAGGTACGTTATATTATTCCTTTGTATATGAGTATGTTCCTGTTATGGTGTTCCCCTGTTGACATATGAGTAATATGTAGGGACTTATTTGTAAGTTGTATTTTGTAGGGGCCTATATAAGCTCAAGAGATTGCATAATAAGATTAGGGTTTTCATATTCTTTATGGTATCAGAGCCGCCAAAACCCTAGCCGCCTAGGTCTAGCATAGCGCAGCAAGGGGCGGTCAAAGGTTGGGGGGGTTCGGTAGGTCTGAGGGTTTTCGGGTCTGAGGGGGGATTCGGGTCTGAGGGGTGTCGAGGGGGTTTTGGGATCGGAGAATCGGTGAACAGAGAGGTGGGGGGGGGGTTTCGGCCCGAAAACAGAGAGGGGAGGGGGTTTCGACTCGGGAAAACAAAAGGGGGGGGGGCCAGCGAGGTGGGGAGGATGATCCGGTGGGGGGGGCTTTTGTCCGGTGGGGGGCTGCGATGGGAAGGATGATTCGAAGGGGGGCGGTTTCCAGTGAGGGGTGGGCGGCCAGGTGAGAGAGGGGGGGTGATGGCGGCGCCCCCCTGTTTTTCCGATCCCAAACAGCCCCCCCCTCAGACCTTTGCCGCCGCTTGCTGCGCTATGCTAGACCTAGAGTTTGGCATGGGTTCCCTTGACTCAGTCCTCGAACTGATGACAGGAAGAGTATATATCTCACATCGATGAGATATATAACTGGTTTTGGTTCTTGTTTCCTCTGAGAAACGAGAATTGGTTTGAGATCCTACTCTTGTTGTGCAGCAGAGGTGCTACCGAAATTTTTACTGCACACAACAAGGGTCAGAAGAGAAGCTGAACAGGTGGTGGGTCTGAAGCCTATTCGATGGAGGAGATCATCAAGAAGTTGAACCCCGCGGAGGTGTTAACTTTGATGAAGCTAATGAAGTTGTCGGCTGGTGAGAGTGCGACAAAACCATCGAAGAAGTTGGAGCTTCCGACCATCGATCTGAAGCTTGATGGACCGAGTACTTACCTGAGCTGGTCGCGGCGGGTGAGATACACCCTTGCAGGGAGGAACCTGGAGGGTTACTTGACAGGAGAGGCGACAGAACCTGAGGAGAACTCGGAGGGAAGAGATGAGTGGAAGTCCACTCATATGTTGGTGTACATCTGGCTTCTCAACTCGTTGGTCCCGACGATCGCCGCCACGGTGGATGGCATTGAGAAGGTGAAGGACGTTTGGGAGAAGTTGAGGAGGACATATGATGGAGTGGGAAATAACCTGAGTGTATTCCAGATTAAAGGAGAGATCAACGCCACAGTCCAGGGAGAGAGGACTGTACAGGAATATGCTACAGAGCTGGAACGCCTGTGGCTGGATTATGATCATTTTTCTCCCCGGACTAGCTGCAAGGACCCGGGATGTAAAGAGCGGGAGGCCTTTCTACAAGAGAGGACTATGGTGTTTCTTAAAGGATTGACATCAGAGTTCGCTCAGCGAATCGCATTGCTGCTAGCTCAGCCGAAGATTCCCACGCTTGAGGAGGCTGTCTCTGCTATGATCCAGGAGGAGACTCGCATTCGGCTGCAGGCGGGGACATGTGAACTTCCTGTGGTGAAGTCAGCACTGACAGCCTCTAGCAACACTGGATCTAGGGGAGAGACTGGTGGGTCATCTAAGGCATGCTTGCACCAAGCCACCCAAGGAAGGAGATTCGGGTGGACGTGGACAGTTTGGAGGTCGTGGTCGTGGCCGTGGGGGTCGACGAGGTGGAAGAGGAGTAGGAAATCAGGCGAAACTGACGGTAGCAGAAGAAGAAGAAGCTGAGGTGGTCTTTACAGAGGAGGATCTTGCTCTCCTCACGATACTCAAGAAAAAACAGCAAATAGCAGGGGATGGAGATTTGAGGAGTGGTATTGCGGAGGCATCCACTTCGTTCTTCGCCAGAGGCAACACTGCTAGCTATGCTCATCCGACCAAAGGTACTGATGACATACATGCTCTTACTTCTATATCTCCTGACAGATCATCAGAGTGGATAGTCG